TAGTACAGTATCCAGTTTATGTATCCATGGCCACCAAGGGAGATTTCTAACCGTGCACAGTGGAGCAGCAGTGACAGTAACGCTCACCCTGTCATGCTGCTCTCAACAAACTCATAATAATTACACTTTCCCCCACTGAAATGTGGACTCAAAGCAGAGTTCTGGTGATGTGATTTAATGCTAAAGCAAAGAACTTATTTATACTGTGTGCAACACGGTTAAATGTAGTACGTAAAAATAGGTATGCTAATGCATGAAACCAATAAACCTTTAGCAAGCTCTTTTGACATTTCTCATTTATTCCACACACTGACGGCTGTTGCTATACACATAATCTATCCTCTACTACTGTATAATAAATAGTAATTGCCCCTCATGTTTGAGGATGAGAGGCTCTAGGGTCACAGCAAACACACCCCGAATTAATGAGCTGCATCACCCAATGTCAAGGAACAGTCCAAGACCGGAACAACTCGCCAACTGCACTGGTTAACCATTACCCCGGAACATGATCCGCAAATCGATTAACATCCAGGTTCCCAATTACTGCTGGGTAGACGGAGACAAATGCCCACAGTTTCACCCAACCCGGGGATCGAACCCAAACATGCTAACCATTACACCACAGGTCAGCAATACTACTTTATACCAGAGAACTGTATACCAAAAGGAACTTTTATAAAATTTTTATTTTCTACAACATTGACATGAGACAAATACGTAACACAATCCAGGCACCACTGCGTCCAACACACACATTCTTCATACAGTATATGAGATGGAGCTTCTAGATATGGCAACACTCTGAAGTAGCTTGTGTGCGGCAGAGATGGTGAAGCACAGCCAACTAAGTAAAACCTAGCTAAGGCAGACTAATTAGAGCAAATGAACATTGAATCAGAGTGCGCATTTAGTGATGGATGGCTTAGGAATTTCAAGACTCGTCATGGTATTAGACAGTTTGTTTACATTTTTGTCTAGTGTTGACTTTATTTTTCTTTAAAACTGCTCGTTTTGATAAATGAAGCATGCTTTATTTGCTAATGAATAAACTATCAGAATGTACCTGTTCATCTCTTCTTTATTCCTCCTTAAATTTTAATTTTAAAAGTACTGGCTGAGAATCCGGAAAATCCGAAAATCCGGACCGACCCAATCCCCAAGCAGTCCGGATTTTTGGACTTCTACCGTACAATGCAATGATTAATCACTATTATATCAGTAAACTTTAATAATAACAGTAAATCTAGTGAAATATGGCAGGGATATATGGAAATATGGCAGACGATGCTCAACTGGCGGTCACTCGACTCATTCACACCCGATGAGGGCGCACAATTGAAGTACGTATGGGAGAAATACATACAGTACGCCTGGATAATTCACAGATTTTTATTTCGCGGTCCTCTATTATTCACGGATGGCACCCTGGATGTACCCAAGAATGTCTGCAGGTAGTTTTAAAGTTGCTGGCATTTTTGCAGCCGGTACAGGGAGCGGGTGAGTTTTGTGGCATCCCGCATGATGTCTCCCTTGTCCCGGGAGGCTGGCCCACGAGCGCCCTGCACGCTCCTCCTCAGTTTGGAATAAACATTTGTCCGTCTCGAGCATGCTACTCTACTCTCATAACAACTGTGCTCCTCGTGCTTGTTATGGCTCCCAAACGCCCTCAACCACCTTCATCCAGATGCGGGGAGGGTGCCCAAACAAGTGAAGAGAGAAAAGAAGATCATGTATTTCTCCCATACATATGCCTGAGTGACTGCTAGTTAGTGCGTCTTCTGCAGTTTTAACTCTCCTCGCTCCCTGCCATATTTCACTGGATTTACTGTTATTAATAGTGTTTACTGATAGAATAGTACTTAACAGTGATTAATCATGTCATTGTAGCTGGGTTGGCTCATCATGGTAACCACCAGGCTACTGAGCCAAGCTTTGAGGTATTATGGTTTTATTCAACTCATATTTTTAGGTAGATATACGTAACCTTCTTCATTTATTTTTGCTCATTTATATGCACACACCATCCTACATACACATTGTGAAAAAGTATCCAGTATTACACCACAATTACCAACATCCTTCTTGTTGGGTTGGCTACATAAGAAATTCTGTAAGTTTGATCTACGTATCAACCCAGCTGGTGCTGGCGCCGTATGGCAACTCAATCAACTCAAATTTCATCATAACAAAGCACGAAGTTGACTTGAGGGTAGACTCGCATTTTTTCTACATTACATTTTGTTGTTGTGTCTCTTATTACGGTATATGTGGGAGGATTTCCCCATTATTATTTAATTGCATGCATTTTAATAATAATAATAATTAACGGTTTATTGAAAGAGCATGACAGCAGGAAGGCTGAAAATAAACAGTTACATAATTGAGGAATGGGTCACTTGATTGACAAATAACATGAGTGATACAAATATGATATACAGTAATATCTCCATTAGCCGGAATCCCTCAAACCATTAACTCACCAATAGCCGGAATTGAAATTTTCCGGAAAAATAATAGAAAATTTACCCGATACCCGGAAAATTACGGGGACGAGGGAGTTTTGTTCCGGGTTTGAGAGACGAAAATCAGGCGCATTTTCTGGAAATTCCAAGCAAAATTTTCCGTTACCCAAAAAATTACGGATATGAGGGATATTTTTCCGGGTTCGAGAGATGATGTAATGGGCAATTTCTGGAACTTCCGAGATTATTTTTCCGTTACCCGGAAAATTCCGGGGATGAGGGATTTTTCCAGCTTTGAGAGAGTTGTCTTGTTACCCGGAAATCTTTCATTCCCGGAAGTGCTCTGCACCAATTGTTCCGGCTAACGGAAATATCACTGTACTAGTATAATAACAGTGCGGAGAAGGTTATACTACAGGGCATTTCAACGGTGACAGTGCAAAAAGGTAATATTGGCTGGAAGTGAATACATACACTGATTGATTACGAGTTGATAATTACAGTGACCCCTCGGTTAACGAACTCAATCCGTTCCAGAAGGTCGTTCGTTAACCGAAACCATTGTTTCAATGGGTTTTTGGGTAATTGGTTCCAGCTCACCGAAAATTTCCTAAATTCAACAAAAATGGTAGAAAAGTTCACTTACTCTAAGGTGTGTATGTAGAAGGCTCCTGGATGATGATGATGGGAATTACAATGGGGGTGGAGGAGAAGGAAGAAGAGAAGGCATTGGGGTGGAAGAGAAGTCACCCCATGGCACCATTTCACCCATAAAATTTTAGTTCTCTTGGTGTATTTCAAGATTATTTTCTTTAAATCAACACTGCACTGCATTATATATTGTCAATATGTAAAATATATTTCAAAATGACCAATAATTTGCTTGGAAACAGAAAAAAAGCGTTTAGTTGAAGAGAGTCTCAAGCAAGATGTTACCTCCAGTGAAAACAGAGAGAGACTAACGCCTGTTTGCTGTGTTAAGAGGCTGGATGCTGCGCTTTAAACTAGTCACTTTACTTCAATTATGTTCAATAATTGTTAAAATGACTAAAAAATTGAATATTAAACTTTTAAAATTATTGAATAGTATAAACTTCTTGATATTTACTAAAATAGTTAGGAATTTAAGCCCTAGAACCGATTAATGTGTTGGCGGACTGATACTAAAGCTGGTTGCCCGGCCAGTGCAAGCGAAAACATGTTGAGGCCAGTTCGTAAGAAATTCGTTAACCGAATTTTCGTTCGTTAACCGAATTGAAGATCCTTATGGAAGGCAGTTCGTTAACCGAAATTTCGTTAACCGAGGCGTTCGTTAAACGAGGGGTCACTGTATTATAATGGTTGGGACTGGGCTGTTCTTATAATTAATAATTAACGGTTTATTGAAAGAGCTTGGCAGCCAGAAGGCTGAAAATATACAGTTACATATTTGGGGAATGGGTTTCGAATTACAAATAATATACAAGTAACATAAGTGACACAAATAAGACATATAATAACTAGATGGGGAAAAGCTCAAACTACAGTTCATTTCAACATAATGACAGTGCAAGGAGTAGTGTTTACTGGGAGTGAATACACTGGTTTATTACAAGTTATTGATAATTTTTACAATGGTTGGGACTGGGCTGTTCTTATAGCGATCAGTTCGTGCACGTATGGGCTGGATGCGGTTGTGGTGTCGAACAGCAATTCTCGGACTAGAGATCTCAGGTGGTAGTAGGAGCCGGTGTCGAGGATGGGTATAGCACACGTGTGTGTGTGTGTACACACACATATATAATACAGGTAAAAGAAATAATTGTCCTAAGGGCAAACACATAAAGGGAATATACCTTTCTTTGTACACAACCACACCCCCTCTCCCGGTCAGCAAGCAAATGTTATTTGCGGCATTTTGTGAACCCAACCCCTCCCCCTCCACAAATTTAAAGGGCATGCTGTATCTTGTAGTTTAATTTGAAATTGGTTGTGCACACAGTGATAAACAAATAAAATAAACCATGCATTGATCTATGATAACATAATAAGAAACACTGTATCATTACTAGAGTGAATGAAATAATATTCCCACAAACAACAATTGATAACTCTTGGACATGTGCGTCCCACGCGCTGACGCCCTGGTCCCTTGAAATTTTGATTCAGGATGGACATGTCATCCGAGTACAAATTTTGTCCTACTTTTTCTTCTTTTTTTTCATTATTTTAATTTGGGAATTATTTTTTGCAAATAATTTTGTCCGGTTTAAGTGATATCCACCTTAACAAGGTTTTACTGTATAAAATGTAACTGTACATCTGGTGTCCACAGGCAAGTCACATTTTCTTCCAAGTCATAATTATCAAGAAGCCAGTGCAAAAACAATGCCTGTCTCTTAACTCACCCATTAGGCTCAACAGCATCGGTCGCCAACAGAACAGATCCCTGCATGCCTTGATATTCTTTGCCAGCTATTGGGACCTAGAAAACAGAATTCAATGATTAAACACCACATAAAAAATAAATTTCACAGGGATAACAAAACTAAGAATCTGGTGCTAAAATCTGTTCACAATATATCCCATTCCATAGTCCCATTCTTAGGAGATTTATAAAGACCAAGGAACATAGAATACACAACAACTTTAGATACACAACATGCAAGAGTTCATTTAAAAAGGGTAACATCCTCATCCATAAAGTTGTTAACATGATCCTCCACTCAAATGTTTTAAGGCTGTTTTTAAGAACCTCCCAGACTTTGTGAGTGTTTTAGGAACCCAGCATTTAATGACATGCATCCATCACAGCTTCAGTCTTCCAGGGGCTTCCTATCCTCAAGGTCATTCATTAATATCTCTAACATTATCCTCTCATCCATAATTGTATCTATTTGCAGCATTGTTAACACTGAAAAGTACCAAATCAAAGGGAAAACTTAATTATATGGCCCAAACTTTTGGTACCCTTGGTGTTCTGGCTGAATTATTTTTTCTCTCAGAACTGGAAATAAGAACAGTTTGTTTAACTACCTTAGTATAACCAGATTAACAAACCAGAAAACACCATCAATAAATCATAGGCACCAGGTAATTAACATTGCAAACAATGTTCCCTCTTACCTGTGCACCTGCCCGACTGCCTAACAGTCAATCAAGTGTCACACACATAACCTTCACATAACAAAACATGTTCCGCACTTTGACGTAAAAAATTAAAAGGTTATATCTTACTCCCGACTCTGAAACCTAATTAGCTCTCAAATAAGGAGTGTAGCAAGGATGTGAATACAACACTTGCCTCTCACCCTAAGACTCACTGGTTCATTCCTAGAGCACCCCCAGTCCATCCTGCTGTGAATGGGTACCTAACAACTGTACACAGATGAAGAGATGAAAGCAATTAATTGGAGTACTGGCTACACTGGATCTTTGTAGTGAATAGAGGCTTAGTAAGTAAGCTACATGTCCCTAATGGGCCATCAGGCACATGGGACACGTTCATTTCACTACATTTTACTTTCTATTATGTCTAAATTTTACCTTTCCTAGTCATAATGAAATCCTCTCAGATAATGGAAATATATACTGTATGTAAAACTCTGGTACAGTACAGTAGACCCTCGCCAACCATGGATTAAACATATCTATGGTTTTCACTCTGTATATCATTTCACCAACCGCGGCATTTAGTTTTATTTATCTGTGGATGAGTGCGACGTCTCTATCCCTCCGTGGTCTAATGTATTCTTCCATGAAGCCCATCTCCTGCCACTGCTCTCTCAGTGTTGTGGTCTGGTAGCGAGTAACAGGCCAGACCCTGAGCATCTACCCAAATCCAAGAGTGTTAAACTATTTTATATGTATTTGACTCAAATTTAAATAAAAGTAAAATACACATGCAGGTAAAGTTTAGTGAAGGAACAGACAACTTGGTTAGGCTTTGATAAGCGTTATCAACGGCCATTGAACCTAACCCCCACGGTTGGCGAGGGACTACTGTAATGCTAAATCTGCATTCAAACATACCTCTGTATTATGGTTCATTCCCATACGATACATGTCTGTCAGTTGGCCAAATGCTTCGTGCTGAACACTGACGTACAAACGGTCGTCACCTCTCTTATTACGTCGTCTTTCTTCTTGAGTTAACATATCATACACTGAATTCAAGGCTTTCTTTAATCTGTCAGAAAATAAAGTATAGTTATTAATACAAAAGTTAGTGGCTCAAAGTTATAAAAAGCTTTAATTCTATCTAGGCTGTAGCACTGTACTTGTCTTTAGCCTTATAAATCAATGAAATACCCCCTTTACATTACTTTATTTGTCAAACCCTGTGTTGTTTTCTGTAAGCATTTTCCCCACTATGCTGCAGGTTGACCAGTCTTTCCTTCTGCTCCCTACTGAGACATCCCCATATGCCTCATAAGGTCACCATGCTCTGACCTCTTATCACCCTTTACCTCTAGTACTTCATGCATTCCAGCCTCCTTTCTCCATCACCCACCTATTTTCCGCTCCTACCATCCACCCCAAAATAATGCCATCTTTTCACCAAGCTTTCACTTTTCCCCCCCTCTCTCAACACATTCAATTCACTCTTAAATGTCTTCTCTTTACTACCTTGTGGCAGCTTTTCTCTTCATTGTTCAGCTGCTCTTCTTTTGCAAACTTGTTTACTATTTCCTCCTTCTTTCTCTAAAGCTCTCCCATCTTTAATCACTATATTCCTGATGAATTTTGGTGAAATAGTTTAATACCCTTAAATAGTGTGAGTCTTCATAAAAAATTACTCTATTATCACAATGGATCTTGCACTGTGACCATTGTACTGTCTTCTCTTCTTACAAACACACATTATCCTTACAAAACATATATACTGTAATTGTGTATTTACCTTTTCTCATCAACAAATGGCAAGAGTGCAACACCTTGCCAGGCAAATTTCTTGCCATTTAAGTCAATTTTGAAGTCTTCTGGATAAAAATCAATGATAACTGATTCTGGATCCAACATCAACCTGCCCCAAGGTTCTGGGACGTGGTCACGACTTGCTGCAGGAAACACACCCATGAGCTGTTCCAGGGGGTTGAATGGCTCCCCAATGTCAAAATTGACATTTGCCTTTGCACAATTAGAAAAATCTGAAGCAAAGGGTGCATAGTGGTATGGGAAATACCAGTCCCATGATACACAGCCCTGGTAGTAGTACCTGCCAACAAAAAATATATAAAATTAAAAATTTAATATACCGGGTAACCTAAACAAGACCCAACTGGAAATCAAATACTGTACCTGTATTTACAAGCAATAAAATATATTTTTTAAATAAATCAATAAAAAACAGTTATCATATGACAGACAATTAAAACTAAAGAGGAAATGCTGCTTACTTCAATACCCAGCATAGACCACGGGCATATTCATCTGCAACTAGTTTCCTGAATTCATAGTTGTCAGGGTTCACCTCAAACTTGGACTCATAGTAGCGGTCTTTGGCTCCGTCCTCATACAGTCTTACTTCATCTGGCACTTCATCTTCGTCATCTGACTCAACATTGTCTATGGTTCGCTTCATACCGCGGTTTCTGGAAAATATTTGAATTTTGTTTTCAGGATATGTACCTTGCTGAGGTCAAAGTTACATACACAAGAAAACTCCTTATTTCAGTCCACAGATATCCTAAGTACAAACATATTTCTAGTTGTACCACAGATATTTTATGTAAAAAAAATTTTTTTGCTGTAGTGTAAGAATAAAGTGCTTACAAGATTATTCCTTGTGTTACAAAGATTCATTATCAGAAATATCTTTCTGTTAGAAAGATATTTGCAGTAAGATTCCATATCATGGAAAAGATATATTCAAAGATATTTTTTATTATGATAAAAGCTCTATAAGTACTACAGTATAATACAGTACTTTTGTGGTACAAAAGATCATGTAATATTTAAACATCAGAGGCAATACAGTCTGTGGAGTTGTGTTTGATTTGATACACCACACTGTAACAAAATGACACAGACAGATAAGGGTATAAGGGTACATCATCTTCCTTTAGATGTTGTTAACAGCAAGTATATTAAAAATTCTCAAGTACTGTATTCAAATTAAGAAACTTGGTGTTTATAAGATGGTGGGCAAAAAACTGCTTCAACTAGTGCCAGGAGGATATTCAATAAGCTTATTACCATATTTGTACTATACCTAAAAGACAAACTAAATTATTTACATACTCTCCAGTATTCATATTAGAATATCGTTGCTCCATTATAAAACTTCTTGCTCCATGTGCCACTGAAGTGTCCCCGGCCCTCATAACAGCGAAAGCTCCTTGACCCGTTTGATTCTAATAAAAAAAAATCAATATGTCAGACATATACACACATTGATACAAGTCTGTTGCCAAATACAACACTAATCATTAATGTCATCACATAAATACAACTAAAATCCTTTACAACATTCCTTTGATCTGTGAGGTAACAACTCACAACCCCCAAGATAGAAAGATTAGATTTGTCCAGTGTACTAACATGGCATATGGCCAGCTAAGCACATACCACAGAAAATAATGCCCAGCCAACCCAACATGGCCATAGGATTAATCCATGACTTCATGTTAGGCATCCTGACCACAGATGGAGATACAAGGCACAAATAATACCAGCAAGATCTCATATTTCGCGCGATTTCATTTCGCGTTTTTGAATTTCGCGAGCACTACCTAATGTAACCAAGTCTTAAATTTGGCGTTAAATATAGTGAATTTCGTGAGATCCAGCCAGCTGAACGCGAGATCCAGCAAGCCGAATGCTGGCCACCGTCTTGAATGACGTCACAGCCCTCATACCAGTTAGTCATTTCTGCTACAACGCGTGTTTTGTCAACGCGAATTGGTTGCAATGCGTTTGATGAATAGGGGAACACTGTTTGTAAAATGCGAACTTTTGCATATGAATGTTGTCTATAGTGAGATTCCATCATCAATGTTTTGATTCCATCCTCAACGTATTAAGCGTGGCGCGGGGTTATGCAATGTTTACAGTTCACGTTCAACATCACATGATAAATTGATTCGTGTCTTTTGTTTGTGAACTGTTTTTTGAGAGGTACTCTGTAATTTTTTTTTTTTTTGCAAATTTAGCTGTTACTCATAAATACTGAATGAAGAGAATAAGTAAAAAGAATGTTTCGCAGTGATGACTAATAACGGTTTAAACCAGCGCTCTCTGTTTACATCACGTGATCAGTTGAATCGCGCGGTTTCTGTCAATTATTCCGTGATTTTCGCTATTTTCTCCAATTTTGTTGTGTTAGCGATGAATACGGAAAGACAAGGTGAGAAGAATTTTTTGAAGAAGTGTTCTGGTGATCAAATTGCTGGTGGTGAACGTAAAAGAGGTTTACAAGAACGCAATTATCGCATTGTAGCCCGCGCCATCCTAGCGACCGCCCGGGCTGTAATTGTGTGCTTTTTGGGTGGTGCTACCACCTGTCGATTCAAGATAATGGCCTCTACCTCTACTGGGGGTCCTACTGGTGCTGGTGGGTGGGACAGACCCTCCTATGCGGCCAAATAAGGAAAAGGAGAAGCGGGACTATCATAAGGGAGTCAAGTTTGCCAAGCACTCGATGCAGGATAAGCAGCGTGTGATTAAGTTACTTGAGGAAGGCCTAAAAACTAGTTTCCGGAAAGCACAATCAAGTCAATAAAGGTAGAATTTGTATCATTTGGAGGTTATAAATGGGAGAATCAGAGGTTGATGTAGAGTGACCCGTCTATATTGTTATTTTTCCCATTGGTTTATGTATTTGCATTTGGCGCAATTTTTCCAGTCTATATTACTAGTGATATATACAAGTCTTACTGTAGTACAACCACAGGTACAGTATAGACCCCCCCCCCCGACAAGTCCTTTTTTACAGTGATGAAAATCCAACAATCATTTTCAATTACACCACAACACAATGCAAGCTTTAAGATAATTTTATTCAACACAGACAGAGTCCCTCATTTATGGGTTAAGTGATGAGGACATTATGGTAGTCACTCAAAAATTAAACTATCTTTACCGAGGGATTGTCAAAAACCTCTGTCCACCGAGTAATATTTTCTCAACACAATTTTGTAAAGAGAAATTTTTGAGTAACCGTTCAATACATCCACATCAGTATCAGAGAAAAAATTCTAAGCACTTAATATGATCAACATTATTCAGCAACAAGGTGAAAATGCTGGCCTTATAAAATTAATTTCCCTAAATGTTACTCACCTTAAACCTATTGGCAGCTTCCTTTTCCATTTTTTCATCTCTTTTCTTCCTCTTGTCTCTTGCTCTGAACTCTAACTCTCGTTTCTGTCTTGCTCTAAATATCTCATCCTCTACTTTACCAAGATTTTGCAGAATCATTTGTACACGTTCCATGTTGGCAGCTCCACTATCTGTCAGCCAGCCCTAGAAATTGAAAACAAATAAAAATAAATAAAAATTACATGTACAGTATATATCATTTTCACTAAACTTCATGCACAAGGGATTAAATCACCCCTTCACTAAACTCATCGTGTCATTTACAATATAAAGTGTAAGTTCTTCTCTTCAAACACATGCTAGATCCTACGCACAGCTTTGCACTAAACACATCAAGTTCAGCTTACGTATTAGTGTGCATGTGTTGTGGAGTAAACCAATCAGTGAGGGATGAACTGATGATGAGAAGAGTAATGAGAGGTAAATCACACATTTTTGCAGGTAAATTTACTGTTACCACCTACATCAGCCTAAATCACTGGTTTTCAACTTTTGTATTCTAGTTCCTCCCTTCTCAACCATCTTGATTTGACTGTAAACTGTCATGAGAGTTTAAGCTCTTAAATTTAGCATTTTATAAAATTATAAAAATCTGATTTATTTATTTATTTTATTTTACTTTCTACAGTGGAGTGAAATTAAACATGAAGATATAAAATGTCAGTTCCATGGCAACTTCATCATAGCTGGAGAGATGGTTGGGTTGGGTTGCCTTTTCAGTACAAGATCATCAATTCTGCATTCAATCAACACCACAGATCATCATCACCTTCAGCTTGTTCCAGGACTTAATCTACCTTCATAACAAGGAAAGTGGAAACCCAACCTCACAATAACACTACAGGAAATGGTAAAAATCACCAAATATTAATTTCTAAAAGAATTAAATAACTACTAATCTTAGAACACCTCAAGTTAAGCAAGCTCAGCTCCAAAAATTTTTCTAATACAGTGGTCCCTCGGTTAACGAGCGCCTCGGTTAACGAGATTTCGGTTAACGATTTACCTTCCATAAGATTCTTAACTTCGGTTAACGAACAATCCTCGATTAACGAGTTTTTTACGAGCCGACTTCAACATGTTTTCGCTTGCATTTGGCGGTCCACCAGCTGTAGTAGTCCGCCAATACAGTAATCGGTTTTGGGGCTTAAATTCCATCACCCACCAGGATTTGAACCCACGATCTTATAATTGTGACGGTCGAACGCTACCTCTGGGCAACCAGGACAATAAAAGCAGTCCTAGACTCTACTATATTTCACACAAAACCTGTTCAACGACCTTATGGCGCCATGAACCTCTAATGGGGACCACCCGTGCCGCTTAGGTGATCAGAGCAACGTTTTACCAAATCCGGCTTGGAAACACGAGGATCCATATATATTTCATTAGCCCAATAAAGCACTTGGACTTCTACATATAATCAACACCTCACCCCACCAGGATTTGAACCCACGATCTTATAATTGTGACCGAGGAACGCTACCTCTGGGCCACCAGAACAATAAAAGCAGTCCTAGACTCTGCTATATTTCACACAAGGCCTGTTCAACGAGTTTATGGCGCCGTTAACCTCTAATGGGGACCACCCATGCCGCTTAGGTGATCAGAGCAACGTTTTACCAAATGTGGCTTCGAAACACGAGGATCCATATATTTCATTAGCCCAATAAAGCATGCGGACTTCTTCATATAATCAACACCTCCTTACCAGGATTCAAACCCCACAATCTTATAATTGTGACCGGGGGTATGCTACCTCTGGGCCACTAGGACAATAAAACCAGTCCTAGACTCTACTATATATCAAACAAAGCCTGTTCAACGACCTTATGGCGCCATGAACCTCTAATAGGGACCACCCGTGCCGCTTAGCTGATCAGAGCAATGTTTTACCAAATGCGGCTTCAAAACACGAGGATCCATATATATTTCATTTGCCCAATAAAGCACGCGGACTTCTACATATAATCAACACCTCACCCCACCAGGATTTGAATCCACGATCTTATAATTGTGACCGGGAACTCTACCTCTGGGCCACCAGGACAATAAAAGCAGTCCTATACTCTCTTATATTTCAAACAAAGCCTGTTCAACGAGCTTATAGCGCCGTGAACCTCTCATGGGGACCACCCGTGCCGCTTAGGTGATCAGAGCAACGTTTTACCAAATGCGGCTTCGAAACACGAGGATCCATATATTTCAATAGCCCAATAAGGCACGCCGGATCACATATAATCAACACCTCACCCCACCAGGATTTGAACCCACGATCTTCTAATCGGTGACCGGGAAACGCTACCTCACTAGGACAATAAAAAGGCAGTCCTAGACTCTGCTATATTTCACACAAAGCCTGTTCAACGAGCTTATGGTGCTGTGAACCACTATAGGGGACCACCCGTGCCGCTTAGGTGATCAGAGCAACGTTTTACCAAATGCGGCTTTGAAACACGAGGATCCATGTATATTTCATTAGCCCAATAAAGCACGCGGACTTCTGCATATAATCAACACCTCACCCCACGAGGATTTGAACCCACGATCTTCTAATTGTGACCGGGGAACGCTACCTCTGCTCCACCAGGACAATAAAACCAGTCCTAAACTCTGCTATATTTCACACAAAGCCTGTTTAACAAGCTTATGGCGCCGCGAACCTCTAATGGGGACCACCCTTGCCGCTTAGGTGATCAGAGCAACGTTTTACCAAATGCAGCTTCGAAACACGAGGATCCATATATATTTCATTATCCCAATAAAGCACGCGGACTTGTACATATAATCAACACCTCACACCACCAGGATTTGAAACCACGATCTTATAATTTTGACCGGGGAACGCTACCTCTGGGCCACCAGGACAATAAAAGCAGTCTTAGACTCTGCTATATTTCACACAAAGCCTGTTCAACGAGCTTATGGCGCCGTGATCCTTTAATGGGGACCAACCATGCCGCTTAGGTGATGAGAGCAACGTTTTACCAAATGCGGCTTCGAAACACGAGGATCCATATATATTTCATTAGCCCAATAAAGCACACGGACTTCTTCATATAACCAACACCTCACCTCACCAGGATTCGAACCCACGATCTTCTAATTGTGACAGGGGAACGCTACCTCTGGGCCACCAAATGCGGGTGATCAGAACAACGTTTTTCCAGATTCGGCTTGGAAACACGAGGATCCATATATATTTCATTACCCAATAAAGCACTCGGACTTCTACATATAATCAACACCTCACCCCACCAGGATTCAAACCCACGATCTTATAATTGTGACCGGGGTATGCTACCTCTGGGCCACCAGGACAATAAAAGCAGTCCTAGACTCTACTATATATCAAACAAAGCCTGTTCAATGACCTTATGGCGCCATGAACCTCTAATAGGGACCACCCGTGCCGCTTAGGGTGATCAGGGAGCAACGTTTTACCAAATGCGCTTCCAAAACACGAGATCCATATATATTTCATTAGCCCAATAAAGCACGCGGACTTCTACATATAATCAACACCTCACCCCACAAGGATTTGAATCCACGATCTTATAATTGTGACCGGGAACTCTACCTCTGGGCCACCAGGACAATAAAAGCAGTCCTATACTCTCCTATATTTCAAACAAAGCCTGTTCAACGAGCTTACAGCGCCGTGAACCTCCCATGGGCACCACCCGTGCCGCTTAGGTGATCAGAGCAACGTTTTACCAAATGCGGCTTCGAAACACGAGGATCCATATATATTTCATTAGCCCAATAAGGCACGCGGACTTCTACATATAATCAACACCTCACCCCACCAGGACTAACCCACGATTCTAATCAGGACCGAAACGCTACCTCTGGGCCACCAGGACAATAAAAGCAGTCCTAGACTCTGCTATATTTCACACAAAGCCTGTCTAATGAGCCAGGCGCTGTGAACTCTAATGGGGACCATCCGTACTAGGTGATCAGAGCAACGTTTTATAGAATGCGGCTTCAAAACACGAGGACCCATATATATTTCATTAGCCCAATAAAGCACGCAGACTTCTACATATAATCAACGCCTCACCCCATCAGGATTTGAAGCCACGATCTTATAATTGTGACCGGGGAACGCTACGTCTGGGCCACCAGGACAATAAAAGCAGTCCTAGACACTGCTATATTTCATACAAAGCCTGTTCAACGAGCTTATGGCGCTGTGAACCTCTAATGGGGACCACCCGTGCCGCTTAGGTGATCAGAGCAACGTTTTACCAAATGTGGCTTCGAAAGACGAGGATCCAAATATATTTCATTAGCCGAATAAAGCACTCGGACTTCTACATATAATCAACACCTCACCCCACCAGGATTCAAACCCACGATCTTATAATTGTGAACGCGAAACGCTACCTCTGGGCCACTAAGACAATAAAAGCAGCCCTAGACTCTGCTATATTTCACACAAAGCCTGTTCAACGAGCTTATGGCGCTGTGAACCATTATAGGGGACCACCCGTGCCGCTTAGGTGATCAGAGCAACGTTTTATCAAATGCGGCTTCAAACCACGAGGATCCATATATATTTCATTAGCCCAATAAAGCACGCGTACTTCTACATATAATCAACGCCTCACCCCACCAGGATTTGCAGCCACGATCTTATAATTTTGGCCTGGGAACGCTACGTCTCGGCCACAAGGACAATAAAAGCAGTCATAGACACTGCTATATTTCAAACAAAGCCTGTTCAACGAGCTTATGGCGCCGTGAACCTCTCATGGGGACCACCCGTGCCGCTTAGGTGATCAAAGCAACGTTTTACCAAATGCTGCTTCGAAACACGAGGATCCATATATATTTCATTAGCCCAATAAAGCACGCGGACTTCTACATATAATCAACACCTCACCCCACCAGGATTTAAACCCACGATCTTACAATTGTGACCGGGGAACGCAACCTCTGGGCCACCAGGACACTAAAAGCAGTCCAAGACTCTGCTATATTTCACACAGAGCCTGTTCAATGAGCTTATGGCACCGTGAATCTCTAATGGGGACCACCCGTGCTGCTTAGGTGATCAGAGCAACGTTTTACCAAATGCGGTTTCGAGACACGAGGATCCATATATATTTCATTAGCCCAATAAAGCACGCGGACTTCTACATATAAACAACACCTC